CGCGTGGCCTTCAGAGCCGGGGTCGCGGGCTCGTCCTGCTCCCGCATCTGCGGAGGCCACCACTCCGCGCTTGACTCGCCCACCGCAGTTCCCGCTTCTCGGATGAGGAAAGCGAGGCTGCTCTCGTTGGCCAGTGGCCCCGAACGCCCGGGTTTAAAGGGTTTTTTTGGTTTGTTTTTTGGTTTTTGAGACGGTCTCGCTCTGTCGCCCAGGCTGGAGTGCGGTGGCGCGTTCTAGGCTCACTGCAGCCTCCGTCTCCCGGGTTCAAGCGATTCCCCTGCCTCAGCCTCCCAAGTAGCTGGGACTACAGGCGCCCGCCACCGCGCCCGGCTGATTTTTGTAGTTTTGGTAGAGACGGGTTTCACCATGTTTGGCCAGGCTGGTCTCGAACTCCTGACCTCATGAGCCACCCGCTTTGGTCTTCCAAAGTGCTGGGATGACAGGCGTGAGCCACTGCGCCCGGCTTATTTGTTTATTTGGTAGAGATGGGGCTGGCCTCGAACTCCTGGGCTCCCCCAGGCGATCCTGCCACCTCGGCCTTCCAAAGTGCTGGGATTATGGGCAGGAGTCGGCTTTACCTCTGTTTGTTTGTTTTTGTCTTTATTTTTGAGATGGAGTTTCGCTCTATCGCCCAGGCTGGAGTGCATGGCGCCATCTCGGCTCCCTGCAGCCTCCGCCTCCCGGGTTCAGGTGATTCTCCTGCCTCAGCCTCCTGAGTAGCTGGGATTGTGAGCCACCGCGCCCGCCCGGCTTTGCGTTTTTAGTGTAAGGGAGGCACCTTGGCGCTGGGAGTCCTGGAGAAGGAGGGCGGACTCTGTACCTGCCCAGACCCACCTCCCCGCACCCCAGGACCCCAACATTGGGTGTGTGAAACCTGTTCTGGAGTTGGAGGGTGCAGGCGGGAGAGGGAGCACCCCCGACCCACTCCGTGGAAAGGCCGGAAGGACTGCGCTCCACGCTCGCAGGTGTCGTGGAGCCGCTTAGGAGGTGCTTTGTTCTGAGTCTGATAACAGTTGGGTTTTTATTATTTGCATTTGGACTTCAGCCTCTGCCATGCCTTGCCTCTTATTTGATAGCAGCGACGCACAGTAATGCTTTTTTTGTTCTTTTTTAATCTTACGGGAAATTGTTTTACTTTTGTCAGGGGGACCTGGGGCCTTTTAACCCTGGTTTACCAGTGGAAGTGCCCCTGTGGCTGGCAATTAACCTGAAACAAAGACAGAAATGTCGCCTGCTCCCTCCAGAGTGGATGGACGTAGGTAAGGATGCAGTGGAGACTGGCTGACGAGTGGGTGGGGCTGGGCTTGGGATGATACCCTCTCCCAAGGGGTGGAGGCATGGGGCCTCCTTCCTGATTAGTGCGTGCTCCCTCTGTTGTATTATCCACTGATCAGCTGAAAGGAATACTTCCCGATTCACCTCTCAGCAGAGTCTGCTAACCAGAGTTACTAATGTCATGTTAGGTTTTGGTGTATGTGAAAATTGTAGTTTATTTTTTGAGACGGGTCTGACTCCATCACCCAGGCTGGAGAGCAATGGTGCAATCTTGACTCACTGCAGCCTTCACCTCCTGGGTTCAAGTGATCCTCCTGCCTCAACCTCCCAAGTAGCTGGGACCACTGGCGTGTGCCACCACACCCTGCTAATTTTTGCGTTTTTGTAGAGATGGGGTCTTGCCATGTTGCCCAGGCTGGTCTCAAACTCCTGGGGTCAAGTGATCTGGCCACCTTGGCAGATCTGCTGGGATTACAGGTGTGAGCCACTGTGCCCAGCCTATATTTTAATGTAAGATATTTCAATTTGCTTTAAAATAAATATATGACCTTAAAGAAGCATTTGTTTTAAATTTTTAAAAGTTAAGTATAGATTAGCATGTTGAGAAGCAGTTATACAGAATGCATGAAAATAATATATCACAAAAGGGTCGAATATTATTCAACTATAAAAAGGAATGGAATTCTGATACATGCTACTGCGTGAATGAACCTGAAACATCTTAAACATCTTGCTGAATGAAAGAAACCAGGCACAAAAGACCACACACTGTATCATTCCATTTGTATCAACTGTCCAGAATAGGCAAATCAATAGAGACAATAGATTACTAGTTGCTTAAGTACGGAGTCTTGCTTTGGGTGATGGAGGGATTGTGGAGTTTCTTTTTGGCATGATGAAAATTGGGATTGATTGAGGTAATGGTTGCCCAAGTCTAAATATACTAAACACCATTGACTTGTACACTTTGTTTTTAATAGCCCGCAAGTGCTACTAAAACGTGTGTGTGTGTGTGTATTTATTTTTTAGTGGAGATGGGGTCTTGCTATGTTGCCCAGGCTGGTCTCAAACTCCTGGACTCAAGTGATCCTCTCAGAGTGCTGGGATTACAGATGTGAGTTGTTGCCCCTGGCCAGAAGGCTTTTTTAGCAGAGAGACCCACCAGGCCTGGCTCCATTAGTGCAGCATACTCTCCCGGCCCCTTGTTTAAAATCAGTATCTGGCAATTTTGTTCCATCCACACCTGAGGTGATACATGGCAAGGGCCTGTTTTATCGCAGGCTAGAGTCAGAAGGTGTGGAGAGTTCACCTTGAGCTTTTTGCCTGGGCTGGAGCCGTATTGTGGGAACAGTGAGGCACCAGTCTATAGACCCTACCCAACAGCCTGCTGCCTCCTGACTTCTGCACCACAGATAAGTCGTGCCTGTTCTGGACGGGGCACGGTGACTCACGCCTGTAATCCTAGCACTTTGGGAGGCCGAGATGGGTGGATCACCTGAGGTCAGGAGTTCAAGACCAGCCTGGCCAACATCGCGAAACCCCGTCTCTACGAAAAAATACAAAAATTAGTTGGGCATGGTAGTGGGCGCCTGTAATTCCAGCTACTTGGGAGGCTGAGACAGGGAGAATTGCTTGAACTGGGGAGGCGGAAGTTGTAGTGAGCCGAGATCATGCCACCGCACTCCAGCCTGGGAGACACAGCGAGACTCCGTCTCAGGAAGTTAAAAAAAAAAAAAAAAGGTTCTGCCTGTTCTGGGACTTCATTTAAATGGAATAATCTAGTATGTCATTTTTTTTGTTTATGACTTCTGTTATCTAACATTGTTTTTGATATTCACCTGTTTATGTTCTCCACACTGGGACACAGAGCTCAGCTCCCAACCCCTTTCTCCACTACCTAAACTCATATCCACACTACCTCATTAGTTCTTCCATTGCTGGATACTCTCCATACTATATATTTGTTCACCGATTCTTCTGTTGGTAGATATTTGGGATTCCCATTTTTGGCTTCTAAAAAACATTGAGAGACAGGGTTTCTCTGTTGCCCAGGCTGGATTGTAGTGGTTATTCAGGTGTGATCATAGTGCATTGCAGCCTCCAACTCCTGGGCTCAAGCGATCCTCCCATCTCAGCCTCTCTAGTAGCTGGGACTACTGGTGTGCACCAATGTGCCCAGCTCATTTCTGGCTTTTGAGACAGTCTCGCTCTGATGTCCAGGCTGGAGTGCAGTGACTAGATCATGGCTCACTGCAGCCTCCACCTCCTGGGCTCAAGCGGTCCTCCCACTTCTGCTTCTTGAGTAGCTGGGACTACAGGTGTATACCATCACACTCAGCTAATTTTTATAGAGACAGGGTCTCACTTTGTTGCTCAGACTGGTTTTGATCTCCTGGGCTCCCACCTCGGTCTCCCAAAGTGCTGGGATTACAAGTGTGAGCCACTGTGCCTGGCTCATTTTGGCCATTAATAAGGCTTTTGTGAATATTCTTGTCCAAGTCTTTTCATGGATATGTTTTTTTCTCTTGGGTAAATAAACACCTAGAATGATGGACTTGCTGGATCTTAGGGATAATGCTTAACTTTGTAAGTAACGGCCACCTGGTTCTTCAAAGCAGCTGAGCCTTTATCCTATAAGAAATATGAGTTCCCATTGTTCCATGTCCTGGCCAAAAATTTTGATTGTATCTTTTTTATTTGCTAGAAAGGTGGACCAGAGGTGTTTCATAAGCTGATTCAGATGTTAATGAAAGGATCACTCTTCTGTGTAGAGAAGGTCCGTGTGATAGGAGCAGAGCAGGGAATGAATCCAGGCAAGCACTGAGGGTGGCCTCTAGCTGATGGAGGTAGGAGATGTGGTGGGCGTCTAGGTGTGTTTTGAAGGAAGCAGCAGCAGGATTGGCTGAAGGACTGGCCATGGGGTGTGAGGGAGAAGAGTGAAAGCTGACAGCCAGGCTGTTGGCTGGAGGCCCAGAAGGAGAGGGAGTTGCTGTCTCCTGAGGTGGGAGGCTGCAGGAGCAGGCTGTGGGCTGCAGTGGGTATCAGGAGTTGGGGTTCGAACTGTTGTGCTTTCTGGATATCCAGGGGGAAGTTACAGCAGCAATGAGATTATTGAGTCAGGAGTTAGGGCTCAGGGGCTGATGGGGGTATAAATTTGGAGGTCTTTCTGAGCACATGGGTGGTATTTGGATGAGGTGGTGTGGATATGAGTTTAGGTAGTGGAGAAAGGGGTTGCAAGCTGAGCTCTGTGTCCCAGTGTCGAGAGGTTAGGAGGAATTGCCAAGAGACAAAAAGGGGAGCCTAGTGCGTTCAGAAGAAAGCTCAGAGGGGTGTCCGGGGAGGGCCTTCTTTCTAAGGCAGTATCTATTAGTGTGTTTGGGAGGATCGAGCAGGGAGGGGACAGTGATCATTCAAGAGCATGAGAGCTGCTGGAGTGCCTTCCTATGCAGGTGAGAGGGTCCAGGACACCTGGAAGGCTGATCCTCGAGTGCATAGGAGCTACGCAGGGAGTTTGGGGGATGGGGTGGCATGTGGGTCACACTCAGCTGGGTGTCAGGTGAGAGGTGGGTGTTGGGTTGAGGTGGTGCTGGTGGCAATGAAGAGAGGGAAGAGAGGGTGAGCAGATCAAGGAACTGGGCCAGGATTGCAGGACGGCACCAAGGGCCCTGGGGATGGAGTAATTGGCCCTTTACAGAGGGACCCTGCAGCGTAGCTGTGCTCCGTGCTTGTCCCTTAGCTACATTCCACAGTCCACACCCGAAACAGGTTTCTCTGCAGAGGGAGAGGGCTGAGGGAGCTGGAGCATGTGTGAGAACAGTGCCGATGCTGGTGGAATTGGACACAGCTGTTTGATTCTAGACGCTGGGCTTTAACCCATCTAGGATACCATGCCTCCTGCCGGCTGGGTTGGCTTAACCCTCCTAGGATATTGTATCATGCCCAGGCTAGGGTGGCTTAACCCCTAGGATATTGTATCCCTCCTAGGCTAGGGTGGCTCAGCCCCCTAAGATATTGTATCGCACCCAGGCTGGGGCGGCTGAGACCCCTAGGATATTGTATCACGCTCAGGCTGGGGTGGCTCAGACCCCTAGGATATTATATCACACCCAGGCTAGGGTGGCTCTAGTTTTGTAAGTTGTCTTGTTCCCTTCTGAACAAGGCAGTATAAATTAATTTAAGTCACTGACTACTTTGATCACTTATTGCATCAAAGGTAAAATACTGACCAGGTATGGTGACTCACTCCTATAATCCCAGCACTTTGAGAGGCTGAGGCAGGATGATCACTTGAGTTTAGGAGTTTGAGACCAGCCTGGGCAACATTGTGAGACCTCGTCTCTACCAAAAATGAAAAAATTAGCTAGTTATGGTGGCATGTGCCTGTGATCTCAGCTACTCCTTGGGAGGCTGAGGCAGGAGGATTGCTTGAGCCCGGGAGATTGAAGCTGCAGTGAGC